GGGCACTTTTTTTTTTTTTTTTTTTTTAACATTTCTTATCAAAGATTCAGAGTTGCAATAAATACAAATGACGACCTCCCCCCAGCCCTCAAACACCCTGCACTAGTTTAACTGTCTGTTACACTTCCTAAGGATTATCAAACTGTTCGTTGTCCTTTTTTTCCCCCAAAAAAGCCCCAGTCGAAGTTCTTAGGCCGACGGTCATAGGCAGCCTAACCTGGCAGCGACAAATGAAACGGAACAAAACCCTTTGGAGGAGTAGCAAGGGCCATTTTGTTCTTTTATGGACATCCCTATATGAGAATGTTTTAAAGTTTATTATTATTGGTAGAGGTTTTTTGCTATAGGGCACATGCGCTCACCAGAAAGAGACAGAGACAGAGAGACAGCAAGTGAGAAATCACCAGAGACAGAGAGACAGAAAGTGAGAAATCACCCCCCCCTCCCGCCCCCGGGGGACGGCCATGCCGCAATCCTTTCTCCTCCATTTTCCTCTCAGGATCTTGGGCACATACGCGCGCGCGCGCACACACACACACACACATGCCTGGTGTGAATTTAAGCCACCGGGTCTGGAGCTTGAACTGCGGTCGACTATATGGGAATTCAGCAACATAGTCATTAGGCTAACTCCTGGTCCCAAAATTTATTATTTTTAAATTTGCTATAGGGCACGTGCGCTCACGAGAGAGAGAGAGAGGAAAAGTGAGGAAGCAAGCCACCAGGTCTGGCACTCAAACCGTGGCCGGCTATGTGGGAGTCCAGCGCCTTAACCACCAAACCACCTGCTGGCTCTGTAATAAGAGGATTTGTATAGAAAACTCTCATGTGTCTGATAGTGTGATGTGTGGGTACAAGGGCCACAGGGTATGACAGGGTTCCCTTTGGATCACCTTATTCCCTCCCTCTACCTTGGGGTGAACTTTTGCTACTTGAAGGTCCTAGAGGACAGGAAGTCCAGAAGCCCCTCATGGAGCCAGCACCGTTAATGCCAAGTGGACACACGTGTGCACCTGTGCATTTCAAACCTACCGCTCAGTGGAAAGGGTGAGGTGGGAGCTCTGGGACCTGGCTCCCAAGCTCTGATGCATCCACCCAGCAGCCAACGGTGCGCAATCTCCAATTACTGCTGGGGGTGTGTCACAGGTAATAGGATTGTTAAAATTGTTGTTCGGGGCTGGGGCCAGGGCAGGGGCTGGGGCCGGGGGAGCTTTTTAGCACTGGATTCCTGCAGAGCACTCTCAGGTGAGACCAGAGGGCCGGGGTGAGCCTGTTGGCTACCTAATCACCCAGGGAGGACTGTGATAACGTTATTCCCTGTCATAGCATAAACCTATCATGGACCCATCCACATGGAGCTTCTAGGAGTTTCTTTGCTGAGGGGGGAATTCAAGGAAAATCACAGGGGCCAGGCTTTCAAGGCAGTAGAAACAGTGGAAAGATTAAGGCATCTCACATTCTTGCCCCACTAAACGTCAAAAGAGCTGTGTGGTCACAGTACATAGTCCCTGCTGGGCAGGCAGGAGAGGCAGGGCTGGTTCTCCACCCTCAGCGCTGCTGAAGGTCATGGTCTGCTATGTACTCCAAAGGCCTATTTTATAGTCATCAGTCCTGAGGAAAAGTCCACCCAGGCTGGGAGAGGCTGGGGCTAAGGACCCCTCTGTCACAGACCTGGTCATCCCACGCTGGTGCACTGGAGACCCTAGAGCACCCCTCCAGTGCAGGGATGACTGGATGCCTGATCTGAAGTTACTGCATAGAACTCAGGTTTGGTCAATGGGAAGGGCTTTCAACGGGACAAGGCCGGTCCAGGTGCTCGTCCCTGGAGGAGTTGAGAGATCTGGCTATCATTGAACAGAGAGGGCTAACGGCTCAGGGTAGTAGAAGACAGGTATTTATTTGCCAGGCACACAGAAAAATGCGAGGAATAGAAACGCTTGCATACTCTTGAGTTTTTGGTGTAAAAACACACCCTCCCTCCCCCCTCACCAAAAAAAGAAATTTATCAATTTCCCACCTTGCCCTGGATCCTAGAATGAATATCACCCTTCCCTGTTCTCCCCCTTGCCTCCTTCGGTCCATCAATGTTACACACTCGGAACGAAAACCAGAATTCCAGGGTTTCTGCACAAGAAAAAATTAGAATGTTTTCCAAAACTAGGTATTCTGCATGTCAAAAATGTTCTTGAGAGACTGATGATATTCACACAGGAGTGAGGGGGTTAAATGAGCCTTTATTAGAACGTTGTAGCGGTCATGTTTGAAGGCGGCCCTAAAAAATAAGGATTTTAAATTAAAGACCCTAACTGCATCAACTGGAGAACTGGGGTTGCAGCTGAACTGGGGAATAGCAGTACCCCGTGTCCACAGCAGACACACGCGTGGTGTGTGGACACGGGATGCCTTGCACCGGCATAAAGCCGGCCCAATGTGGGGCCAACTCGGAAAAGCTTGTCTTTCCTTGCAAGACCGGTTTTTAAAGAGAGAGGAGACAAAAAATAAAATATTAATAAAACTAAAAAGCAGACCTGATCCTTTTAAAAACATTCCTGTAGACTCTAAAGGGTTTAAAAAAAAAAAAAAATCTGAAAGCAAACCCTGACAGCAACCCCCAGCTTTAAGGAAAGGTTCTAAGCTAGACCCAAACGGAAATCCTGAAGTCTGGGGCAGCAGCTCACTGGGCACCCGGATGGCGCCTTCCACCCCGACACAACTGTTGTTCTGCTCACCTGACCAGGGGCACCGGGTCAAGGTGGCTTACGATTGTGTCCGTCAAAATGAAGAGGAAAAAGAAAAGGAAAAAATTTAATAAAATAAACCACCACAACAAAAAAAAGAACCCCAACAACCCTCCCCCTTTCCAACTTCCTGCTCAGGCTTCTGGGTGTTGCTGCCGACCTTCCTCCTCCGCAGGCAGGGCAAGGCTTCTGGAATCCCTGGTTATCTGGCTGGGGCTGGGTTTAGTTTGTTCTTCTAAGTGTAGGAGGTCCAGGGTCTCCCGAAGAGCAGCAACAGAGGCTTCCGGCTGAAGCGAGGGCTGTGTCGGCCGTCCCTGGATCTCTCAGTCACTGGGGCCGGCTGACTGTCCCTGCGGGGGCTGTAGTGCCATCAGCGGTCCACTCTCCAGGGCCTGAGGGGCTGGCGGACGACATCGTGCATGACAGAGACCCCTGGGTCTGCACGGTTTACTTTTACTCCATCATCATGAGGTGATTAAAAAAAAAAACAAAAAAAAAACAACAACAAAACAAAAAAAACTTTAACCTATAGATCGCCATAAAGGAAGGCAAAGTTCAGGAGCCTAAGACAGGAAAAGCAAAAACGAAATGAAATGCCCTGCTTGACGTCAGGAGCCCCAGGCGCCGGCCTCGTCCGAGCGTGTCACAGTGTCCAGGGTGAGCCGCCCGTTCGTGCCTGCCTGCCTGCCGGGGGGCTGGATGAGGGGGCCAGGAGCAGAGCCAGCCCCCATGGTCCGCTTTTCTGCTGGTGTCGGGCAAACTAAAGGCAAAGAGAGAAAGGAAGAAAGCCCACGGAAAGGTCCCCCAGTTAAAGTCCTCGTCCCCTTTTGGAGCAGCACCCCCTTCCCAGCTGCACTGAGCCACTGCAGGCAAGCATGGAGGTCTGGCTTCTGCGGAACAGCTGTCACTCGCTCACGAGGCCAGCACCGTGTCTTCCCAAGCGAGCAGACGGTGGTACAGCATGTCCTTCTAGACCAGGGGCCAGAGGGAGGGAGGAGGGGAGCCCGTCCTCTGCTGGGCCTGGCACTATTTCCATGAGGCCGACTGGGGGATGGAGCGCGGAGGGATCATGTCTAGGAGGTACTCGCGCTGGCGGTCCACGGCCGAGGAGGTCTTGTGCACTGCCAAGCTTGGGCTGACAAACGCAAGGGTCCCGCCTGCAACAGAACACAGGGACAGGCTGTGATGGGTCTTGCTCTGAGAAGGCGTCTGGGGGTCGGGCGGGGGCTTGCCATAGCCAGGCTGCCTACACCCTATCCCCCAATGCTCATGTGAAAGACTCATTGACACTGTGTCTCTGGCACCTCAAATCCCAAGCCTTGAAGCTAAAGACAAATTAAGAGACAGGGTGGGCCCAGCAGTTGGCGTAATGGCTATGTCGCTGGACTCCCATGTAGTCAACTGCAGTTTGCGTCCCAGACCCAGTGGCTTAAAACACACACTGGGCGCATGTGCGTGTGTGCCCAAGATCCCGAGAGGAGAATGGAGGAGAAGGGATTGCGGTGTGACCATCCCCCCTGGGGGGTGATTTCTCGCTTTCTGTCTCTCTGTCTCTGTCTGTCTGGCAAGTGCACGTGCCCTATGGCAAAAAAAGAGAGAGAGACAGGGCCAGCCTATGGTCTGGTGGTTAAGGAAGTTGGATCCTACGTGGCCGACTGTGTGGGTTGGGTCTGGGACCCAGCGGTTTGAGAGCCACTCGAGGTGTGTATGTGTATGTGAGAGTGCCCCAAATCGCAAAAAGAGGGAGAAACTGGAGAAGGGATTCCAATGAGACCATGCTCCAGCAAGTGCACATGCCCTACAGCAAACATTTCTCTCTTGGTGGGTGAGAAAGCACTGGGTGAGTGCATATGCCCTCTAGCAACAAACAAACAAACAAAAACACAAAAATCAGCTCTTTACCCAGGCATGGCCATGTGAGGTGCCTGCTCACGGTGCTGTCTAGAACAGCGACAAGTCTGTCCACAGCGGGTTCCTACAGCATGCCAGTGAAGTACCACAGGGTGCCACTCCGCCATGAAACACAATCCCACCCTCCAAGAATTGTGTGTGTGTTTTAAAGACTTTTCTTTCCCGGGGGCCGGCAGATGGCATGGTGGTTAAGGTGCTGAACTTCCACGTGGCCAACTGTGGTTTGAGTCCCGGACCTGGTGGCTTACTTTCTCATTTTCTTTCTGCCTCTCTCTGGTAAATTAAAATAAGAAGTAAATAAGTAAATATAAATTAGGGACCAGCAGATGGCATAATGGTTATGCTGCTGGACTTCCACGTAGTCGACTGCAGTTCAAGTCCCAGACCTGGCCTTGGGCGGGGAAGGTGGGCAGCAGGTGGCATGGTGGTTAAAGGCACTGGATTCTTACATGGCTGACCACGGTTCAAATCCTGAACCTGGTAACTTGCTTTCTCACTTTCTCCGTCTCTCTGTCGATCAAACTAGAAAATAATAGTAGTAATAATAAAGTTAAATAAAAACAACTCTTAAAAACAAAACAAAACAAAACCTCATACTGGGCATGTGTGTGTGCCCAAAATCGCAAGAGAATGAAGGAGAAGGGGCTGTGGGGTGGCCATTCCCCGTGAGAGGATGATTTCTCACTTTCTGTCTCCTGTCTCTCTCTGGTGAGCTTACATGCCCTATAGAAAAAATATCTCTCTAAAAAAAAAAGAAAAAAAAATACGAGAAAGGATTATAGTGTGGCCATCCCTTATGGGGTGTGATTTTTCCCTTTCTGTCTCTGTCTCTCCAGCAAGTGCACATGCCCTACAGCAAACATTTCTCTCTTGGGGACCAGCAGTTGGCATAATGCCTATGTTGCTGGACTCCCACCATGTAGTTGACCATGGTTTGAGTCCTGGACCCGGTGGCTTAAACTCACACCAGGCCCGTGTATGCGTGCCCAAGATACTGAGAGGAGAATGGAGAAGGGATTGTGGTGTGGCCGACTCCCCTGGGGAATGATTTCTTGCTTTGTCTTTCTGTCTGTCTTTCTAGAGAGCGTACACACCCTATAGCAAAAACCCCCCCAAAAAAAAAACCCTCTCTCCCTAAAAAAAAAAAAAAAAACCCAAAAAACAAAACCTCAAAACCAAACAAACTTTTCTTTCTCAAGGGAACATAAAGAGCAACAGCACACCCAATAGGGTCCCATGCCAAGATCCATCTCCAGCCTCAGTCAGCCCACTCAAGGGCACAGGTGTGCAGCAAGTACTCCCATGTGGGACTGCTGTGCACAGCTTTGTGTTTTACCTCTGTGCCTCTGCCGCCCTCCTGTTTTAGAGATAAAAGATCATTTTGCTATGTCAGAATTTTCCTGCATCAGCCTCCCATTTGGGATTACAGTAGTGTACGGTTGCATTGGTGCCTTTTTAAAAAAAAAAAAAAAAAAAAAAAAAAAAA